GTGAGGCAGCAGCCAGATGAGCCTCATCCTCATCATGGATTGGGCAATGACTCGGCTAACTGGACTGGCATGCTCAGAGCCAGCCCAAGCCTCAATGGGGCCCTAAGCAAAATTTGATTTTGGGGCCCTCCATTTCTGCCAATAATATTGGTTGTTGATCGTTCACACACCCTCAAAAATCTCTTTGATTAACATTCCATGACATGCAAACATATCTCTATCTTGGCATTTTTTCTCTTCCTCCTTTTTTTCTGCTCTTGAAGGATATGTCCTTTTCTGGGACATTGTTTTGCCCCACAACTACCTGTGCTTTGGATGCTCAGTGAACATTGCACAGCAGGAGGCACATAACGGCAGCAGAGCTTTGACAAATCGGCTGTAAGAATCATAGACCTACATCAGCAGCAGCACTAAAATATGTTTATTTTATTTTATTTTTACAATAATATCTATGAGACCATACAGAAAGCATCAGTCATACATGCAAAAAAGAAAAAATATTTAAAAAATGTTTTTTTTTATTTTTTTATTGCTCTTGGGGGCCCCCTATTGGCCGCGGGGCCCTAAGCAGGCACTTGGTTCACTTATGCCTCGGTTTGACTCTGGGCATGCTATGCAGTGAGACTGTATTGCTTTTTCTCTGTATGTTGTTATTAAAATAATAATAAGAAAGAGTCAATTATGTTCAAACACTTGAGGCACGCAGTTCTCCTGCCTCATGGTAGGGGGCACTCTTGATCCCAGTGATTCTTCTCATGACTTCTCAACTGCAGAGTAAGTGACACGGCAAGCTACAATCTACAGGGAGCAAGTCAAGTGCAGCCATCCATTTATTTTTCTTCTCCTCTGGCCTTACTTTCAAAATAGAGGATTACGTATCTAAACTCAAACAGTTTTCTTAACTGGATTGTCAATCGAAGCATGATGTTATAAAAAAAAAAAGGAAGACCATTTATAAGTATCATTTATAGGTAAAGGTAAAACCATAATGTTTTTTATTTTTTTTATATATTAAATGTGCTTTTTTGTGTGCTAGTTGTGTGCTAGTGAAGACAGCTAAAATGAGATTTTAAACTCAACTCGTTAACTGCTACCAATCAAATAGTTTTATTATTATTTATGGACTGTTTTCTGTTCCATAAACTATTTATTCTACTATTCTACCTTACCACCAGGTAAACCAGCTAATCTTCAGATACTATCATGTACAAATACTTTTATTTATTAAATGTGTAGGTAGTCCATCTCCTGTCTGCGTATGAGTTTGTGTGGTGTGAGATGTTTGGTTGAGGGAGAGCCCTCTCAGCACAATAGGAGCTTATGTTCATAAATCAGGATTTATTTGCACTCAATCATCTCAGCATCAAGAATAGGCCTGTTAATTGTCAGGTTTAGAGGACTGAAGCAAACAACTTACCCTTGTATATGTATTTCTCTACAACTGCAAAACTTCACAAATGAGCCTTGTTAACATTAAAACAAGAAAATTACACCTTTAAAATTTGAATAACTTTCTTTTATTTCCATCAATCAACCCCCTGCAGCCTCACCTTAATTACAGAAATGATCTGGTTTATTCTATGTTGTTTTTCCTTTGTGATTACTCACTGAGGACCAACAGCACACAGCAGTCGGTTGAGCTGGAATCACAAGTGGAGCGCTGCCAAAGTTATGATGGCATATAAAATGTACTGAGTTTTGCAATTTCACTCTTCTGGATGACTCTAAAATGTCCTTACCTTGATGATTGTTTATTAAAGATGTGTTAAAAATATCTACAAGCTGGCTGCCTCGGACTCAGGCTGCCACAGTTTCCATCAGGTCTGATGGCTCTCTGAGACATGGCATCAATAATTGCTGTTATTCTGTCATCAGTGGATGACACTGAAGTGGCACTCTGCCCCCCTCTTGGGGCGATGACATCTTTTTTGTGTTCTGCAATCCTGGTCTTTGCATCACCTTCATGTCATTCCATTTCTTCTTCACCTGTGCCATGCTTCTCGAACCCTATTTTTCTTGACAGGTCACTTGTGAAAATGCTGAAAAAGAGCCTTGTATGTAGCCGGAGCACGGTCTCAATGTAAGAGACATCTAGGAATAACCACGCTACAACAATATGCGTTTAAATATTTAATGCAGTGTGTTTGTCGAGACTGATGTATGTATGTTGTGATAAATAATTAAGGCAAATGAGGAATGTTAAATGTTTGGTTGGTCTGGGAGGTTCCGTAGAGGCCCGGCAGAGAGAGAGACTCAGCATGGGGGACGTCGTTCCGACCCAGACTGTACCTAAAATGGATAAAGACCAGAGAAAGGCAGACATAGAGAAGAGGAAGGAGAGTTAATGGAGATGGAAGGTGGGTCAAAAGATGCAGACAAACACAGTGGAGTCGTATGATAGGCTAGTCAGGTGATTGCATGTATGGTGAAGGCATGACCTCCTGACCCTAAGTTAATACATTAACTCCATATAAGCAGTTTAAGGACTTTTATAAGTCTACAAATGGATGCCAGTTGAACTTTTCACTGTTCCAAAATGCAGCAGCCTGTCTGGTTTTCAACCTACCCAAAACAGCCCTTGCCCATGGATGACATGCCCACTCCACTGCGTGGCAAAGTGAGGCCAAAATATCCCTCAGAATCAGCGTGACTATCTTGTGATGATAACATGAAACTGCATAGAAGGATTTACTGGTAGAGCCAAACCTAAATATAATACACTAAATGCATCTTGTGTTGGTACTCAGTTAAAGAAAGTTCATGGTGTTATTGTGCTGCAAGTTTCCCCTGACAACTTTACCCAACTAACCTGAAGCCCATAGCACTGGATGGTCCACACTGGTCCACAGAGCTGTCAATCATGCCAAAAAAACCCTTCTGTTTATAGAATTTTATATCTAATCTAAACTGAAAGTGAAAAATGAAGAGTGACGTAAATAATCATGGCAAGTAATAATTGAATAGACATACAGTATGTATATCTACATGATAGAAATGGTTGTTTAACTGAAAAAATCCCCTTTAATCAACTGTGCCCTCACAACCTTACAGTTAAGCTTGTCTCCACCCACAGCAGCTTTCTGATTCACTCATACTGATTCATAACACACATGTACAACCCTTCTTATTTCATGCTCTGCCTTATCAAGGTCCATCATCCTAAACTAACTTTTTTCCCTTTCTTTTGTCATTTCTCTTCCTCTCTTTAATGAATATCTAGGCTTCCCTTTGAGTTAGTTTGTTTCATTTGTTGAGTTTCATCTTCTCTATTCTCTAGCACAGTGGTTCTGAAGTCCAGTCCTCGAGGCCCACTGTCCTGCATGTTTTGGTCGTTTCCCTGCTCTAACACACCTGATTCAAATGATCAGCTCGTTATTAAGCCATTACAGAGCTTGATAACGAGCTGATTATTTGAATCAGGTGTGGACTTGAGGACTGGACTTGAGAACCACCACTCTAGCACATTTATTGTTACCTTCAACTTAAACAACTTTTTTTTTTCTACTGACTACATGAAAAGTAAGGTTGATCTGTGGTCTTGTCTTCAATAGTCTCGAAGTTTTAACATCTACATATTTTCACAGACAATTTGTAGGTGTTTTGCTTATTATGAGGTCAAAGGTCATTTTGAATTACAAGACAGCTGAGGCTGATAATCTAAACTCTAACTTTCAATGGAAAATTGTCAAGAAAATATTAATTAAAGGATATAAATATAACTTATATACTTACTTGCATGACAGCTCAGTAATATGCTTTCAGTACAGAGAATGCCAGTGTTTGTGTGCGAAACAATCAAAATGCCGTGTTACAGACACTGAATTAAATCATGTTTATTTGTGTAACCAAAGAGTCGTCTTAAATTGTCATATTGCGTCTCTTTACCTGTAATGGGAGCAAAGCTTCAGTGCTTTGTGTGCGTGTACCTTGCCGGCGCAGACAGAAGCTTCTCCATTCTAAATGGTGCTAACACTCACGAATACACACACACATGTCTTACCCAAAAGTGATTACAGAGGGTGGGAGAGGTGGAGGAAATAAGTCTCTCTTGTCTCTCTTCCAACTTCTTTCCGGGCAAACAATCAATGATGGCCCAGCAACAATTGAGTTACAATCATTTAGTCTTTTCCGGCTCTGCTTTGATGCCGTCTACTTCCAGACAAAGCTTGATGGGACAGGGTGGAGAATTGAATTAAGTGAAGTCACAGGGGGAGAATGGCACCTGAGAGCTTTGGTTATTCAATAAAGCACCTTTCATTCACTTGCTCTCTCCCCTCACTTTTCCTCTTTTCTGTTTTAACTCGCTCTTTCATGCGTGCATCAAATGCCTGGCTTCTTGGAGACAAGGTGAAGCGAGAAACACAAGCAATGCATAAACAAAGTCTCTAATCCACAGTGTCTTCAGCAGCTGTGTGGACTTGTTAGCTTTTGTTGACAGTAAATTGTTTTGGATTGTTAGTGTTAAAAATCTTTAAAGGATTACACGGGTATTTCAAGCAATTTCCCCGACTTAAAACAGCTTTTCCTCGCTTTTTTCTTTCTGCCATTGTGAAGGGCATTCAGTTCAATAATTAAATTGAATAAAGTAATTATACTCGCTTCAAATAGGCAAAACCTTCAGCAGTTTAATAGAAAGTTGGAGCTTGAAAATAAGGCCTGAGATTTTTTTTCATCCAATGGTTTCATTGCTCTTTGTAAAAATAATAAAGTACAAAGCGTGCTCACTTGGGATGCTCTGTAAATGGAAAGAGATACACTCATAATTTGGACATGAACAAATTACACTCCAAAAATATCTCATTTTAAGAGAGTCCTGGGACTCCCAAGAGGTTTCCTGAAAACTACAAACCGTGTGGTCCCAAAGAAGAAACACAGAGCCGTTTGCAAACACAACTCTGCCTAATTAACTGTGTCGAAAACTATGATCACTTCACTGTCTCCAGTTTAACAACGCGTAAAATGGTTTGGGTTAAGTCATTTGTGATCACTTTAATGAGTTCCACAGAAATATTACATGTTTCTCGTAAACATGATGTCTCACCTCTGGAGTATTCCTCGTTGTTTTTCTTTTTTTTCTTGTAAATTATCATTATTTTCTTTCATTAGATATGATAGGAGAGAGACAGGAAATAAGAACAGCAAAGCGAGAGCTGATTTGCAGCCAATAATCACAACAAAGACTGAAACCTGCAATAATTGTAATGAGGTTTGGAGCCTCTGCAATTTCCTTTTTGTAAAGTGCAGCGCCAAAAACTGGGATTTTAAATGTGTGACTCATATAATATATCTTCATTCTTGTAACATGTCCATTGATTTAGAAACATCAAACATATGAGGTCCCCTGCCAATGCATTTTTTTTTTGGCAATTTCGATTGCCATATTGGCCCCTCCAACTATTTTTCTATTTATCCCTGTATCTTAAGATACTTTGAGTTACTCATGTCTTAACTAGGTACAGGGTCAAACTTATTTAATGAAATTTCCTTGACTCTTTTAGGGAGGCAGGAGAAGTTAAATAAAGTTCTGGCATCAATTCATGCCATTGGCCAAACAAGTTCCAGCTGACCAGGTCCAAGCTCTTCAACTCTCAGCTTCTCATGCAGACATCTGGGTTTTCTTTCTGCATTTTGTTGACTTTCTCTCTGGCTCTAGCCTCAAACTCTTTCCTTAGGTTCAAACTCTGCCCTGTTCAACGGAGAGTCTCAATTAAGTGGTATGTTGCTCTTTTGCTGTCACCTGCTGGCTGGTGCTGCATGATGCAATTTGGGTGCAATGAGTCTTAAGTTGATTTCCAACATTGTAAAGGACAAAATGCACATGCAACACACTCATTGAAGACTCTTTTTTTTTTTTGGCCTTGGACAACAAATTTGTGAAAAATCTGTTTCTCTAGGCTCACAGGATATTATGAGGCTACATTTTAAACATAGTTTACTCATTTCACACTTAAGTCAAAAAATGTAATTTCGTTTAATTTTTGTTAAGAGTGGTGGGGTTTTACCAAAATCACGTTACCTGTCATTTTCAATGACTTTTCTTCTGCAGAGCTCCAGTAGCTCATTACCAATTTGCTTCTGAATCGTGGACGGAGACAGCGCTGCTCTGCACCCTCCTCTTCATGCTAGCTTGTAGCCTAAAATTACCGGTGTCGTAGAGGTGGCAGGTAATATATGAACTATTCAGCTCTTGAATGTCTTTGGGGGCATGATGAAATAATTAGCTTTCTTAACAGCATTGCAATCCACTACCGCACACACTTGTTCCACCATCGTCCTCTCTACTTCTCTGGGTCTAGCCTGCAGAGTGGGGCACCAGGGGCAGAGCATGGGCATGTAATGTAGTTTTAAGAATTCCCTTAATTGTTGTTTAACTTTATTGGTGAGTCACAGAGAGCCTTATTTGAAGCCCACCCTGCTTTCTAGCATTATCTTCAATTTTAGTTTCAGTGGGTTTCCAATCAACAAAATTAACATCATGCTGACAGAGACTTGACACGAAAGATTCACACCATGTTAAAAAAAAAAGAGAGGTCACTCCTCCCTCTGGTTTCACACTTGAGACTCCTTTTAACAGTCTCTCTGCAAAATGAATTTTCCCCCTGCCAGTAATTGCACAGAAAGCAGGTTTAAGGTATTTCTCTATTGGCATCAGGATTAGAAGCAGAGGTTATTAGCATCCTTGATAGTCCATGCTTGGGGAAGTCAGGTCCATTTTTCTAACTGCTCAATACACAAGATGGTCTGGACTTCTTTAGAAAAACACCAGGTATTTCAGATGGCTATTATTTAACTTTCCTTCCTGCATACTTTGATAGTTTTCTCCAAACCTTATTACATTGATGTATGGTTAAAATACTTCTTTAAAAACTGCCCTGCAGTGGCTGTCATCCTAAGATTGAGTGTGATGGTGTATTCTTGACAGTGAATTAGAAGTAGCAAAAAACAAAGTCAAGATTAAGGACACACAAATCCTGACAAAGAGCAGCTTCACAGGACTGAAGTCCTCAGTGCTACAAAGAAAATTTACTTCTGACCATTGAGTAAGAAAAGGGGAAACAAAGATCTATCTATCTATCTATCTATCTATCTATCTATCTATCTATCTATCTATCTATCTATCTATCTATCTATCTATCTATCTATCTATCTATCTATCTATCTATCTATCTATCTATCTATCTATCTATCTATTCAATAAGATCAGCTGTTGCAGTCAACAGTTTCAATACACCCTTACATACATTTATCTACATTTTTTACTATATTCTACATTTTAGATTAATGTTTAGACATCACAACTATGACGGAGCACATGTAGAATGATTTAGTAAGCGAAAAAGTGGGAAACAAACCAGAATCTGTTTTTTATTTTGGATTCTTAAAAAAAAATCGCCCTTCATGAAGACAGCTTTACGGACTGTTGGCTTTCTCTTAATGAGGTTTTCACCTGGAATGGTGTTCGAACAGCCTCAAAAGAGTTCCCAGAGAGTTTCCAGAGGTGCAGAGAAACAGATTTTTCTTTACTCTGCTGTCCATCACAACCCCAGACCAACTCAATTGGTCTTAGGTCAGGTGATTGTGGGGGCCAGATCATTTTGTGTAGCACTTCAACGCTCTCCTCTTTGGTCTAATAGCCCTTACACAGTCTGGAGGTGTGTTTGGGGTCACTGTCCTGTTGAAAAACAAATAACAATCCCACAAAGTGCAAACCAGATAGGATAGCATGACGCTGCAGAATGCTGCGGTGGCCATGCTGCTTAAAAGTGTGGCTTGAATTTAGATCCACCTCCAGCGGCACCAGTAAAGCACCCCCATACCATTACACCTCCTCCTTCATGCTTCACAGTGGGAACCATCCACTCACCTTTTCTGTGTCTCACAAAAACATGGGAAAAATTCTCAAACCCACCAGACCAAGGTGCAGACTTCTTAATGTTTAATATCCATTATTTGTGTTTTTTGGCACAAGCAGCTCTCTCCTTTTTGTTGATCCTCCTCAGAAGTAGCTCCTTTGCAGCAGTTTGACCATCAAGGCCTGATTCACACAGTCTCCTCTGAACAGTTAAAGTTGAGATGCTGCTGATACTTGAACTCTGTGAAGCATTTATGCTGGCTCTCTTCTAAGGCTGGTTACTCTAGAGAGTTTATCCTCTGCAGCAGAGGTGATTTTTGGTCTAACTTTCCCTCATGAAAATCAGTTTCTTCATTGCATTGATGGTTTTCGGGACTGCACTAGAGCCTTGTTTATACATACCCAGTTATTTTTAAAAATGGAGACATTAACCATCATTTGCACCCTTGTTAGACGCAAATGGAGAATTCTCCCCTGAAAACAATGCTTTTTAAAAACTCCAGCCGGAGTGGACCTTTTGGACAACTCTGTTTGCACATTTGCATGTCAACTGAGAAAAACGGAGGTCAATGGAGAGTTGGATAGCTGACTGCAGATTGTGCACCGGAAACTGGGTTTAATGTGATCTACAGTTTCACCATCTACAGTTTATGTTTATAATCTATGGTGAGAATAGCGGTTGCATTTATGATGGTGCAATCCCTTTACATTTGTTACCTCCGCCAAGGAGGTTATGTTTTTGGTAGCGTTGGTTTGTTTGTTTGTTTGTTTGTTTGTCTGTGAACAACTTTACAGAGAAAGTTACAGACAGATTGACCTGAAATTTGCACCAGAAGTCCATCTCAGCCCCAGGAGGATCCCATTACATTTTGGTGGTGATCCGGCTCGCCTTCTGGATCCAGGAATTTTTTGAAGGATTCTTTATCATTGTGAGATAGGGCAAATTTTGGAATTTTTACATTTAACTTTATAAAAATGGCCAGAGTCTTTAGGAAAAAATTACACAAAAGGATCTCAATGAGTTTTATGAGGTGTCAAATGTTGATCCTGATCCACACAAAATTCCGGATACTGTGAGCTGCTTGGTGGAGGTCTGCGCTCTCAGAGTGCTTTTCTAGTTTGCATTTGCATCCTTTCCAAAAGAAGAGAGTGACGTTGTTGTTGCTGCTATGCTGAATTCTGATTGGCTTTTTTGAAAACGTAGTTGTGTGCACTCAGTTTTTTTTGTAAACGGAAAGGGTGAAATATCCGTTTATGAAAATAGCCGGGCACGTGTAAACATAGGCTAGGATACATTCAAAGTTTTTCTGAATTGACTAATCTTCATAACTTTAAGTAATGATGGGACTGCTGTTTCTCAGTAGAGTTTCTCTTTTTATATTATGGATTAGAACAGAAGTCGACTAGGGCTGCGTAGGATTGTGTACAAACCCTATCTTTGCATGATGAAACTCATGGTCTTCAATCCTTGAAGAAGACCACATTAACTCTTAACAATTAAGGCACACCTTTTGAGTGAAATCCAGTCCAAGTGTTTACCTTTTGACTTAGTCTGTTTTCATAGCAAAAGGTTAATTTCATTCAAATACAATAGAATGCATACTCAGTGTACAGTGAGGATGCTTATAGCTGTGTGAAATGTGCATTATGTTTAAAGGGCATGCAAGACTGGGTGGTTTTACTCTGCTTTAGTTCACTTAAGGTCTAAATAAAGTCAGGGAGATTACTGGGATTGTATTACAGTACAGTTAGTCTGCATATGTGTGTGTGCGCGCACCTTTGTGTGAGTAAGGTTTATGTTCCTGTGTGTTGGGGCAGCTGCGTTCAGCTCCTTCTTGCTGGAGCTCCAGTCTGTGGAGGTAATGAAGATCAATGAGAGGAACAGTCGAGGCCGGCTCAGATCCAGGTACTGTCTCCCTGTTTCAGGCCAAAGCTCTATCGATCCCCCCTGTGCTCAACTCTGCCAGCATCTGATAAAGGGCTTCTATACAAACACACACAAAGAAAAAAATGCACACTCTCGCACAAAGACTCACTCATGTACACTACCAAAGACACACACTAGGATGCTGGGCTAAGTCCCTAATGCCGGAGAAGGAGTTAAGCCTCCATCACCCCTTTTACAGTTTTCTGCACTGTCTCAAACACCTGAAGGAAAATGTAGAGCTCACATTTCATCATTGTCAAATAATGCCGACTGAGTAGAGCTATTTTTCACCCTGCAAATTGCCTTGTGGTGGTGCTGCTTTCAAGTACACTTTTCTTTGCTCCTACTTCGAAATGCGGACAATGGAAATATGAAAATATCATGTATCCAAGTGCTGTTTTTGTCAGCAATGGTAAGAGCAAATCCTCCAATAAGAGCAGTCTCTTCTTAATGGATGTTATGTGAATTCACAAATAGGGGCTCCTGCAGCAGGCTTTCTTGTCAGAGTTGCAAAAGGATGTTGGTGTAAACACTTAAAACTCTGCACTGAAGTGTAAATACATAATGCAGGTGAATTTTGAAAAAGAAAATATGTAGACACTATGTTTACGGCTCATGTTGGAGGAAATGTTGCATTCATGGTTGGAGCTAATTCCAGTAGATTCTGCAGAACTCAATATCGACTCAAGTCTTCTAGTTTCCATTTGTCTGCTGTCCTCTGAATACAATCTCAGAACCTCATGTGAGTGATAAAAAAGAGATTCAGCTTTCACTGACAGCAGTAAATATGTACACAAAAAAACATCCTCCATCGTTGTTCCTAATACCCAACTTGAAGGGTGTGATAGACCACGACACCACTTGGGTACAGCCTACAACCTGTGAGCACTAAGACCAGGTCCACAATATCTTGGAAAGTGTTTAACAATGTCGACAAAATGAAACAACCTGCTAAAACAAAAGTTTGTTCGCTTCATGTGATGGAAGTTGGGCTGAAATGAAGCAACAGCCTTCGTGAATGAATCCAGGAAGGAGATGCAGAAGAAGACAACTGAGGCTGCAGGCTTTAGCAAGCCAACACTGTGCCAATGATGCACTTCACATAAAACCTAAAAATTGACTTTTTGTTCAATATTTCTGAATAATAACAGACATATTCTGCTGTAAGAATTATTTGTCTAATTATCTCCGCCTGTTGGGATCAATGTTTGTTTCAGGCTGGCCAGAGGTGGCATCCCTTGAAATCAGATTAACTCAAAGTATAAATTTGAAGGCTGAAATACGAGACATTTATATTTTATTGTATCATTAAAAAATAAAAAAAATTCTGTGTTGCAACAGGCTGTAACCAAGGGCGTAGAATTGGGTAGAGACGCTAGAGACACATCCCTACCAGTAATCAGCTGCTACAGTGTAGCCTATCAATACAACCGCTGTCCGTAGTGTTTAATCAATGATTTTGGCACACAAAGGGTTAACAGTTGGTCTCAGCTACAAGTCTAGCCTCTAACCTAAATATTGCTCTTCGATTGGCTGCTGATTTCCCGCTTAAGTACATGTGATTGGCTGTCTCTGCTGTCACTACATCTGCGTGTAAAAGCTACCTGCTACTTGGACTGAAAGTGAGGCAGACAGTGCATGTTATTTGCAACCGCAGAGTGTTAGTTGTCAACATGTTTGACATATTGTGCTTGGGCCATGTCAGCTTAAACAGATTTTAATATCAGCGGTGCCATTTACATTTACATCTGTGTTTGTGTCGTTATGCGTGCATGGTATTGGATTTGTCTTTAGATATTCAGATATGCATTATAAACACGATAGTTTTCTGACTATTTGCTTGTTTGATCAGCCCCTGTAAAAGATGTGCTTAAAGTGGAGTTCGTTTGTAGTTTTCATTTGTACATGTGCGAAATTGTTTAGGTCCACTTCGTCATGTAGAGCTGATCAAACAAGCAAACATTTGTGTCCCCGCCACCAATGTCAAATTCAAACCCACTCCCTTGGGTGTAACAGTGTTTATGAGTCAATAAGGCACATTTCTTTGCATCAGTACCTGGCTAAGTGAATTTAGACATCTTTTGAATCCTTAAAAACCCACTTTTTTATGTTCCATTTTAAAGCAAATTATTACAAACATAGGACTGTATAAAACTTCAATGAAAATGATTAAAGTTCCTTAATTTTGGTGCCTCTTGTGACGCTTAAGTTTTGACAAAAATCTCATCAGGCTTTTGTTTAAAAGTAAAATGTAGTGGCTACTGCAAATATTTGTCAAAAGCTCTCTACAGGGGCTTTAAATAACATATGAAAAGATAAGTAAAAGATGTGCATTTTTTGCACACAGTGGAGTTGGGTTGTAGTTGTTTTCACTTGTACATGTACTTCAAATAGTTCAAGAGGAGTCTAGCCTTTATAGGAAATGATGAAGGATAAGGAATGGTTAAGATGCCCTTTGAAATTCATTCAAAGGTGGGCATCAGTGAATAAGTGCTTCCATGCAGCTCAGTGGCTCATGGGAGCTACTCTTCACTTAAATAGGGTGTAGATGTACTATGTGTTCCCATATGCTTGTTCATTGCTTTGAATAATTTAGCTTTAAGAGCTTCTTCATGGCCTCTGAAATCACTTCATAATGATATTCAGACTGGAGTAAAATCTTCAGTCCCGAAATGAGAGGCTGCCCCCATTGTAATCTCCTCCTTCAGATGTTGGGGAAGAATTTCAGTATCTCTAACAGCGGTGCCAAGTTCTGAGTGAAAATCCTCAAATGATCACATCATCCCCAAATGCCTTTTGAAATTTGCCCAAGATCTATCTGAAAATGTTCTAAAAGGTGCTAATTGTCTCGGCTTTCCCAGAGCTCCATTTCCAAGCGAAATAGTTCAAGAGAGATTAGATAAGTATGCTTTCCAGACAAATAGCTCTTTTTCCCACTTTATAGTGTTTCGAGCAATTAAAAAAGTGTGTGAATGCCAGGGTCTGGCTCACCACGGCTATTTCTTTTTAAACGAGCGAGCCAGAAGAGACCTTTTCCTTACATAGCTCTCAGCTGATCTGGGGCCAGTTTTGCATGTCTCCTCATGATGAGAAAGGTAAAGCCATGCGGGGAATGAAGCTGAGCCAGAATGTAAGTGTTTGGGCAAAACATTGCTGCAGACTCATTATAAGCCTGACATGGCTGTTAATGCTTTATGAACTGCACCAACTGCTGCATGATAACAAACATGCATTAAATTAATTGACCTAATTAGCATAGCCATGAGGAAAACTAGGGCAGGCTTGTTTTTTCATGGTGGTCTGCTACTTTTTATTCACATCACTTTAAGGTGACGTGAATTTGCGGGAGACAGACAAAACAGGAAGAGAGATGAGATTTATTAAAAGTTCAGTCAAGCAGGCGTCAGCTCTGGGCCAGTGTTAGCCTTAGCCACCTTGTGTTTGCATCCCCCCTTCATGGAGCGTGTTTCTCTGTCACAGCAGACTTTTCACATTCCTGCCTCGTCTCTGTGAGCAAACAAGACAAGAAACTTGATGACTTGTGGGCATCTCTTGGCATGAAGCTGAGGCATCTTGCCTTTTCCCCTCACTTTCTTTCCCTCTTGCCCTCTCTGGTCCATCTCTCCATCTTTATCATCTTCACTTTCTGCATCTCCTTGAGGCGAAGCTAAGCTGGATGCATGAGGCGAGGCTGGCTGGCATGACCGACAGGAAACACTTGTCACCCATTACAACAGAGGAGGGCTATTATATGATTCGCATGGCATTTTGTTTCCTCGGGGAGGCCGATACGCCCATCACACAGCTCGATCCACTTAGCGATGATGAGGGTCCACTTGTCACATTCATGTCAATGTGCGGGGAGAGAAATCCCAGGGGAAACAGACGAACGGGGATGCTGCGGGTGTTTAAATGCATGCACACATCTGCGCTTACGCACTCTTACTTATCCGCCTCTCTTTAGGGTTATGAACAATGCAATCAAATTAACCCTTGGTGCGTAAATGCAAAACAAAATGCAGCTGCGAGCATGACATTCCTGAAGTGCAGTCTCTTTACATGCCCCGATAGACTTTATCTGCTCAGCTGCACATTGGAGTTTAACACGCTTCTGTTACATTATGATAAAGCACACACACACAGCGAGCCCGGCCCTGGTGTCATACTCTGCCTCTCAGCAGGGTGATGGTGTTATGCATTTTTATGTTGGGCCGAGGCCCCTCTCTAAATAGGGGTGTCACGGGTGCGAGGTTCGGTAACCTTGTGCTTTATTGTCCCGGGGCTGGAAAATGGGTTTTATTCCAGGCTGAAGATGAGATAAGGCTCTGTCAGGAATCCTGGCCTCCCTGCCTCTCAGCCTCACCGCTGGAGGCTTATTGCAGCAGAGGGGACTAACATTCCATCTCTCCCTTGCTCTGTCTTGTATAGATTTTTCCCCTACTGCCACTTTCATTACATCTGGCGCTCTCTTCTCTGCTTTGACTTTCATGTTCTCCAACTCTTCCCTCGCACCCTCGGTTTCACCCATCTTCATTATGCTGTCATTATACCGCTTCTGATTTCAGAATGATCCTCTATCATTCCGTTGTATGGATTCATTACCGAGATGTTTTAATGCTTTTTTTCCTCTTTCTCTCAGCGTGACCCCGCTGTGAGATGGCCCCAGTGCATTGAGATTGTATTGTACAGTGAGTGTGTGCGTGTGGTTCTCTGCATGTACAATAAGGGAGACAGATTAAGACATAAAGTAAGACTGTGCGTATTTCTCACATCTCAGCAATATGCCTTTGTCTCTTCTTTTCATGACCAGTTTAATACTTCACATTACTTTCTCTGTTGCCCCTTACTCTACCCGACTGTCCCCTTGCTTTCTAACCAAGCCGAGGCCATGTCCCTGGAGGTCAAATCTATGACAGCCCCCTCCCCATAAATTGCAGCCACAGGGTAAATATGTGTGCAGCTGTTAGCTTGTTGCTGACACTTTACCTCTAAGTGCCCCCTCTTGTTCAGGGTTGCTAGTCATAAATTGTCCTGGGTGGAGAGGCAGGGGGCTGTGTGATGTTTTCTGAAGGTACATCGTCTTTTTTATTTAACGCAGAGGTGCATGTTAGCCTTTTTTTTCCCGTAACCTTAGGGAAACATATCAATTCAGAAATATAGAATAAAGACTAAGGTCTGAGTTCAAATATTAAGGCCCAGTGGTTGTTCACACACGGGCAGGTGTTGTACATATATTTGTCTGTGCATCTCCAGCCAATACCACCATAGTCTACCTGTTTAACATATATTAAAATATTGGTGTACTATGATTGAACGGAAAGTATTCTGAGATACACAAGATGTTTTTCCACCAAGCTGTGTGATGCAGTTTGGTTGGGTACAGTACATGTTACATAAATTTTCCCTGTCAAAACTTGGGAAAAGGTACCAAAATAACCAATCAGCACCATCAAGCTCTTCTGGCATCCCTCTGTTGGGGTATCTAACCAAAGAGGACTGACACATAAAATCCGCCGAGTGTAAATACACAGTGGATTTTCAAGGCTTTCAAGACCTCCCACATCATGTTTGTCTTGCTAATATGAGGTTGTCCCCGTCATCTGAGCTTTCAAGTATAAGCTCTCAAGCTTTCTTGTTGTCTATATCAATTTTCCCTCATGGTCTACAGCAAACACAGACTGTTTGCTTGTGACAAACAGCCACATACCAAGTAAGATGAAACACCTGGTGGTCCTTTGTTGTTGCCCATTATTGAGCCTATAAGGTGGAAGGTGAGGGTATTGTTGGCTTTGGCGGTCATAAGCAAGATCAGGGTGTACCGAACTAAACTCTACCAAACCGTATCAACTTGGTGGAAATGCACAATAAATGCCCTATACCGCCTGTCAGTCTGAATACTGTTTATACTTGTGTTGTTGTAGCCTTGGTCAATATTGATCCATAACACAGGTCACTATAGCAACTATCAACAGACTTCAACTCGTAAACGGCTCAGACTAAATCAAGCAGCAAACAGCGATGGTGATGCAAGATGATCTTGGAGGACAAAAGTTCTGTCACAACTTCACCAACTTCCAAGGTGCTTGGAGAGAAAAGGTCTTGAAGGGAACAAAAGAGCTCCAGCAACACTTGTAGTTCAGGAAAACAGTTTTATTCGACCAACGTGTTTCCACTGATAGGTCTAATGACCCTGATGAAGGCCACAAGCCAAAACGTGTCGGTCGAATAAAGCTGTTTTCCTGAACTACAAGTGTTGCTGGAGCTCTTTTGTTCCCTGCAAGATGATCTCAACGAGACAAATTTGGAATATCAAGAGAAACTTATTTTTAAATACTTATTTAAATTAATATTGAGTAATTTAAGATTACTTGAAGAACTTAATATTTTTGTAGATTTTGGCACCCACACTATGGACATGTGTCACCGCTGATCTCATGACTTACCCTTTCTTTCTTCTTTGGTCTGACACCTACCATGCACATTTGCTGTTACAGGCATAGAAAATTATGACATAAAAAGCTGTCACCCTGTTGCCAACGGGCTTGTTGTCTTGTGTAGGTCATAAAAAGTCACCAGTACAAACTGAAGTTCATTTCATAACCAGCTGGAAAAAAGTCTGCACAGTTCAGAGCTTTCTTCTCTCTATGTTAAGCAACTGTTTTGGAGAGTTTTCGATCCCACCCTGGGCATTTTGGGGGATGCAGTTTGTGGTGCTGTTGAACTTTATCGCATAATGCCAAATCAATTTCTTTTATACAGTCCATTGGATAAACCTTGAGAAGGGAGGCTTAAAAAACAGAAAAGGACTCTTTTAATGCACTGGCGACTTAATGCCTCTCCACAAACTGGCACTTTGCTGTGGTTTTGTAAAGAATAGGTGTATTATTATTCTGCAGAGCTATTAAAACAATATAATTTTGCATTATTAAAACATGAAACTAGACCACAAGTGGTTGTCACAAGTACCAAATGGTGCTTTTGGTATGAGTAAGATAACATAAACAAAATCAGTTTGAAATTGTGCAATTTAATGGAGTCTTAAAGACCCACTCCAATGAAAATCATGTTTTCTTTGTTGTCTACATGTTTATGTGACATTTTTCTGATTATACAGGACATATAATTGAAAAGTAAGTGCGAAATTGCATTTTAGAGTATTTTTGCATTCGCATCGCTGTGAATCTCTCACAGATGCAAATGGCAGGTTCAGATTCAGTTAGATTTCCTACGTAGCAAACCCCAGACAGGCGGGCCACACTCAAAAAAGTAGAGGATGATCGCGGAACAAGCGTGTGCGTTCACGGATTGCAATGCTCGTAAGAAAGCTAATAATGATATTAACTTTCATCATGTCCCCAAAGACACCAGTGTCCGAGAGCTGAATAGCTCCGATGTTACCTGCCATTTCTACTGCACTGTTAGGCTACAAGCTAGCGTAACCCCACCCACGACTCAGAGGCGAATTGCTAATGAGCCACTGGAGCTCTGCAGAAGAAAAGCCCTCGAAAATGACACTGGTAATTTTGGCTAAAAACTTCATAATCACAATTTAAAGACTACTGATACCACTTTAAGTGGTTAAGAAAAATGATCGGAGTGGGACTTTAAACACCTGAGTGGTATAAAGTCCGACCCAGCAGCAGACCCTGATAATCAGGTCATTAACTGCTCAGCCAGTTTTCAAATACAATGAGTACTTTGCTGATACACAGTGCTTTAAGTTCTACCCTAAAGTTCCTCAACCTTTGGAAAGAGATTTTCCTCAAGCAGGGAGCAGAGAGAAGTTGTCCCTGATACTTTGTTCTGACCCAGGTACCCGTGATGAAAAGGCAATGAGTTCCTCAGTCCCTTGGGAGAGTTGCTGTGGTGGAAACACAAAGTTCTTACAAAACTGGGGGCTCTGAACTTAGGCCACTTGGAGAGTCAAACCCCACTGAGGGGTGCCTGAGGGGGTGCTGCAGTCTTAATCACCTCAGACATAACAATACAGTACTCAGCAACGCCAAGGAAAGAATATTAATACAAAAGAATTACAAACAAATAAACAAACCCAGTGGTTCAACAATCGGGGCTAATTAGTGACAACACCAGCAAAACAAACTAAGGCCAAACAGAACAATAAGCAAAACAGCAGTCTTAAAAGCAGCGGGAGGGGGTTTGACAGAGAGAAACAGGAATTAACATGGCTCACCATGCTGAATACTAAGGAGATACTTGTATTTCTTGGTCCTAATCACTACCACTGGTATCAGGCAATAAAACCACGCAGGGACACTTTAAGAGGCAGACAGGACGATGGAAATCCTGCACAGCATGCTTGGGGAATGAGTCAGATTTAACAGAGGGGGATTTTAGCATCCAATGGAAGAAAAATGGTGACTGTGCCTGTTTAGTGATCATTTACACGACGTGCCACCATCAGCAATGACCACAGGACCAACACAGTGAAGACAAGCCATCAGGTGCTTTATAATACAGGCTTGATGAGGAAAATGGTTGTGGGAGGAGTAAGGCCTGGGTCTGTACTCATGTTTATAGATCCATAGAGAATTTGACTTCATTAGGTAACAGCAACACACTTCATTTTACCATTTTACTGCTGGTTGCTGATTGGTAAACCATTTTATTGGTTTACCAATCAGCAATTAACACTGGAGAAGAAGAAAGAGGCTCACCTGTTAGGACTCTGTAATTGTTGTAAGACAGCAGAAACAGTAAAACATGATTGTTCCAAACACACACAGGATAGGCGACAAGTTAGTCACCAACTTGACAAAGAAAATTTGGATCTCACTGTTTTCAAGAGTTTAACTTTGAATTTTGTGAGTTTGTATGTGTATATGCATATATCCAAACGGACCCAAACAGACTTGAAGCACATTCTCATTGATGGGACCTGTGTGGATAGAGTCTGTGACTTTCGCTTCCTTGGGGTCCAGATAGAGGTGAAACTGACCTGGGACAAGAACACCACACAGGTGGTAAAAAAAAAAGCTCAGCAGAGACTCAACTCCCTGAGAATCCTCAGGAAGAACAACATTTGCCAGAGACTGCTCGTGTCCTTTCTCAACATGGAGAGCATCCTTACATACTGCCTCTCTACATGGTTTTCTAGCTGCACAGTGGGGAACAGGGAAGACCTCCAGAGGGTCACTAGGATGGCTGAGAAGGTTATTGGGTGCTCTCTGCCCACACTGGAGGACCTTCACAGCTCTTACTGCCTCAGGAGAGCCACCAACATCATTAAAGACTCATCTCACCCACGCCGCCCCCTGTTTTGAGCCACTGTCATCAGGCAGATGGTACAGGGCCATCAAAGCCAGGACAAAAAGACTACAAAACAGCTTTTTCCCAAACATTTTCCACTCCATCAACACCTTCATGAAGGCCAGGTGATGTGTTGCCTATGTATTTATGCACTGGTTTCACTGTCTAATGTTTTACTGTCCCTTTTTTAATGCACTGATTAATTTTGTTGTGCTTGTTACAATCAAAATAAAATTCCATCTATCTATCTATCTATCTATCTATCTATCTATCTATCTATCTATCTATCTATCTATCTATCTAGCTTGCTAGCTAGCTAGCTATCCATCTTGCTTAATTTCCTGTACCACACTCCAATCCAGTAGGTGGCAGTAATACTCCGTAAGATGGTTGCCAACTGCCAATAAGGCGCACCTGTTTCAGGGCATTTTCCCACCAGATCAGTTTTAGCTCAAACAGTTCTTGGATTTATTTAGCCAACAAATCTCCTTAAGTAAAACCACCACAAGTTGGTAAGTTGAGTCAAAGCAAACTTTTTGGGCCAAAAAAAACTACCTTAGCTCACAAACTTTCCTGCAACTTGCTGAGGCTGCCACCTCTATACTTGTTCTTACAGAGATGGAGCTTTGCTGTTTTCCTGATAGCCCTCCAGAAGCTAGCTTTGTCAGCCATTACTCATATGAGCTGCCATGCGGCCTTGACCCAGCATTTTAACCTGGAAATGGAGTTTTCCTGTCCTGTTAAGCTTCCTACACCTTGGGACCCTGGTGGCTCTTTTATTAAAAGGATATCTCTCTGCTGGGGAAACACTGACTTACTTCACCAAGGTAAGTGTTTGCTGTTGTCTGTGTAAATGTTTTGGCTCTGTTCACTTGCTGTGTGTGTGTGTGCTTGGTGATATGCTACAAGGATGCTGGAGCTGCTGGCTGTTTGTTTGCTCTCACAGGTCCTTTTCCAAGGCCATGTAATTGTATCTGTTTGCAACTAACTTTTACTGTGATGCTACCAGCTGCTATCTGCCTCTGTGATTCCTGCTCTGGCTTTGCTTATTTAGCTGTGGATGAGGTTGTTTGGCTTGTGTTTTCAAGTTGTTAATTTATGTAGACGTGCTAAATAAATATTCATTTTGGCATTCTGATCAGCATATATTTACAGATTGAGCTCGGCTGTTGTGACTTAAAGGGTTAGGGTACCTGTTAGTTGAATGTAAACTGTGAATTCAGGGTTGCATATAGAGCAATTGGAGCATTATTTCTACACAAAGCATTGGGTATATGAGGGCAGGCATTACTATTTTTCATATCATAATTATATCTAAACTGCTGAGCCTCTTCTCTACAGTTTTTTGTTGCTGCTGCACTCATTGCCAAATTTAAGCTTATATCCATGAACTGATACTTATCACTGCAGTGGAGCGTTCAGTGAGAAGAGACTGTCTGCTTGCTTCGAGCAAGAAAATGCATTTTAATATGCTTAAGCTAATTATTTTCCGCTGCATAACTGATGCACCTTGGCCTGCAGCTGCATACTGTAAAAGGTGAAGCGCTGGGTTTGGGGTTTGAGAATCTTTATTTACTTCAATGTGTTTTTGTTTCTGACGGTGGATGGTGGTTTGTTCTGGATGGTTAAATGGTGTCTGATACTTCGGTCATTCAAAGCAGATTTCAATAACAGCTAATATTGGACTTTGGTGATGTGAGCTTTCCTGCTACTTTGTTGAGTTTGGTCTTTACCTGTAGGATGTTCCCTCCTGGCCCTTAAACTACAACTTTGAAAAGTCACAGCCAACACTCTCGCCCTTTTACAAACCAGTTTGATAGAGAGTCTAGATTTACTACTTTGAAAATGTCACTTATTGAAAAAGTTATGTCAATCCCTTAATAAAAGATGGTGCCATTTAAAAGTCGTCACTTAACCACATGGCTGTCAGACTACCCATACTCACAGATCTAATAGAAGTCCAAACATCTGTGGTAAAATATGAATCACTGGTGTCAGTCAAACTGTGAAAGTGCATAAAGAAAACATCAATTCAACTATGATAGAAAGAGATGTTTCTGCGTAGGCGAGGCAACTAGGGAGACTATATTTGATGTAAGCTGGCAAAATGGTCTCTACCTTAGACTAAAGACGATATTTAAGTGCCATAACATCAGCTGTTTCTTTAGCTTTGAGTTGTGTCTGGTAAACAGTCTTTAAATGCCTGTTGATTCAGCACTTCAGCACTCGCCTTCTTCTGGTGTTAGTCTTTGCTATATGACGACTTCTCAGGACGTTCCCAGATGTGTTTTGTTAAAGCTAGCACACTTTTTTCTTCTCTTGACATACTTGCTGCACCTTTTCACACATTGCAATGCTGATATTCTCCTCTGTATTCTCCTCGCTGCGGCTGCATTGTTGTTCTTCCTTGCATATCGCCTCCTCCTGTGTCAGTGCAGACTTGTTCATATATAAATGAAATGAATATAATCTGTATTTTTGTCGCATGAAGTGTGTGTGAGTTCAGCTCTATAAGCCTGTATATCTGTACATAGCGGTTTAGAGTTTAAATGCTTTGCTAACTCTGTCTGTGCCTAATCTGTGTCTTGTTTTGACACTGACACCACAATCCATGTCCTGTTACATGTCATATCTGAAGCTGCACCCATTTAAAGTTTCCTCAGAGTACCTCTCAAATAATATTTTATCCTGATAATTAAAGACAGCAGCATGCACTTGATAATCATTAAAACAATACTGTCATTGTAAAATCTGCTCAAGGACCACACATAAAGTGTGTTTACTGTGGAGTGAAATGTCACCTCAGAGATACCCTAAGTTCTGGTTTAGCTCTGACCTGCTCAACCGCAAAATCTTTGTCCTCCTCCAGAGGTCTCATTTAGATTATTGCTTCTTGTGTTGTTAAATGCAACCCTTTCGAAGACATGTCCATAATAGTAATAATAATTATTATTATTACGCTGCATATATTAAGTATTACTCATGTTTGCTGAGGTGTTATATCTGCCTTGAGAGTTTTGGGACTGCATCAGAGAAAAGTGCACCTTTGCTGTGAAACTGTTCACTTGTCCCCATTTTAAAGCAGGTTGGAGAGTTAAGTGACGATATATTTGTCATTGACTTTTCAGACAAAAGCTTCTTTGTGTTCAAACTAACATTATAGCCTTCATGCCTTTCAACCCTGTGATAAATGATATTCATTTGACCTGTTCCTCTGTACTGTTCACCCATTTTTCACCTTTTTTGGGGGTATTTCAACAGCAGAGGAAGAGCAAAAAGAAAAAAAACAAAAAAAAACAAAACAAACAAAAACAACCTCCCTGTAAATTGCTGTTATGAGCATCTTGGTGTGATACTGTGATAAACTTTACTAATAACAAGTATGGATGATAAAATAAAAGGAATACTTAAATTAAGCAAAACCCTTTCTTTAGGTATAGTCCTAAATCCCACACATTAACACTGCTAAACCTGGATTACAACAATCCAAAGTTGGAAGTCAGATTTGAGGTTCACAATCGAGTGCGTCGTTTGAACGACTCTTTTAAGTGAACAATGAAAACCAGTTCACAGTTGCTAGCTGTTCATTTGCCAGTGGCCCTATGATACGATATTATCACGATACTCGGGCCACGATACAATATTATTGAGACTGTTAATATTTTCCAATACTGTGAATATTGCGACATAATATATTGCAATTTATATGCCTTTTTTCAACTGTTTAGCTAATTTAGTATTTGTCTTTCCTTTATGTCTGTCTTATTTACGCTGCATTATATTTTCATGTAGCATCTCTTGCAAACCTTAAAACTGTGTATTTGTTGTACTCATTTTCTCCTGCTCTATGATGTCACCTCTGCCAACCTCACTGGACAAATTGATTTTATTTTTCCATTGTCATTGATTTGACTTCATATCAGTAATTAATTTGAAAAAATTTATACTTTGTCAATGAGACGATATAATGTATAACCAGACAAAATATTGTGAAAATATTATCATTTAGTGGAAGCATTATTTTGACCCACGCTAAAACAAAAAACTCCTCTTTGTTACTCCAAAGCAGGGCTCTTTAAGCCTGCTGTATCAACTTTAATAGAAAAGGCATCATAATGCAGGACTGCAAAAATTGCAAACAGAAACAATTTCAAATGTATGAAAAGTAAATTTTGGAGTGATGTTATATTGATATTGGCGCCCATTACCTACAATCGTGTTTGTACCTTTCTCCTGTTTCTAGTGTGCTGAGGGATGTAAGTTATATCTTATTCAATCAGTTTTGGAAGGCAAACACATATTTCCTGAAATAGGCAGCTTCTTAAATCAAACCTGTTTCTTGTATCTGCTTCTTTCATGTGCCTTTGCTTCATCTTTTGCTCTGCTGAAAGAAACAATCATGGTAAAAGCTTTCCAGCTCAGTCTTCCGTTCATCTCGCCATCTGATATTGACAGAGTCTGTGCAAGCTTTTGCTCAGTTTGTGTTGGAAGAAGATGGATCTCTTTTGTTCCATGTAGCTAAAGATCTTTATGAGCAAAAGTCCTTTTTGTGTTATTGGCAAATGCAATCAGCTACAATACATGCAAAAAAAATCTTGATGTTGACAATAGATTATAATTTTATGTGTGAATATTGAGTTTGTCATGTTCTCGACTGCCAAGACAACCAGCTCAGAGCTGCTGGTGTAAGGTTGCACTCCTGACCTCGCCAACCTATTTTAAGAGTATAATGCATGGACATCTGAAGCCAGAGGAGACAATGACCCCGCATTTCATAAGTGTCATCACTTTCACAAATTACATAAATCATATATTCACCAGTTCTTATTAAATAGGCAACTTTATTAAATAAAATAGTTTCTTTTGGAAACGGAACAAGTCAGGGCTTTCTCCTCCAGCGAGGCACATTGCAGCAGCACACCACGGGAATAAAGTTTCCATGCAAGGAGTGAGAGATGTTATCTGTGAGACTTGTCAAAGGCTATTATCTCAGCCTCTAATGCCGCGTTTGAGGCGTTCTTTGCGCTCACGGTTATCACTGGCAGCTTGGCTAAAGGGTGCACAAGTGAGCAGGGTGGTGCAATACATCAACACACATGCCACAAACCAAACAGAACCAGAATGCCAGCTTTCATCCCAACGTGTAAAGATAGGACGTTAATTGGTTGGACAGAGCTGCAGTTTAGCCCGACTGTTTGATTTCCAGAAGAACAAAAAAAGTCTCCGATACCCAGAGGGAGCTGAGAGAACTTTTTACATCTTACATCATCGTAGAAAACATATTCATGTGGTCTTACGTCTCCTGCGCATAAACTCAAATGACATATTCTGTACTGCTTTTGAAGGCTATAAGTCTTTCTGAATGGGGCTGCCCTCTTATTTTAGGGTGCTTTATGGAGCAGTAATGACTCTCGTCTTTTAGATAAGGTCCAAACAGATGAATCACTTGACATTATCAGGAGTGGATGAGTCAGGATGATGTTTTTGATGTTGGATGCTCTTAGTTCGGATTGCCTTGTCAGAACGGATGTCTCTGTGTATACAAAACTCACCTGAGCCCCATGTGTCACATTATTCCTCCTGAAAACAAGTCAGGGTCATTATCCGGCAGTGAATAATGTGCATGCAATGCTTAGAGGACTAACTACATGTCTTTTGTTGTGCGCAGTTGGAAGCTGGGGCTTGTAATTAAAGAAAGTTAATTTAGCGCTTCATGTGGAGTAGAGGATCTTTTCACTACAAATACAATATGCTTGCTTCGTGCCTGATTGATGTTGGGGGATAATGTGTGCCAAAGTGTGTTTTGTGAGGGTGTGTGACTAATCTATTGTGCAGCATTGAATGGCCTTTCTATGACACTCCTCTCCTCCGTCTGCCTCAGTTGCCATGATACATCACAGATGTGCTCCCTCATTGCTTCACCTCCCTTATCTTTTTACTGTATTTCTCAGCAAGGGACAGGCTCAATTATGATTCCGAAAATACCAACTGCTATCTGTTGGAGGGTTATAAAAATGTTGAGCATTTTCTGCTGGTAACTTTTGTCCACCACAGATGCAAGAAGAATAATCTCCTATGAAAATATGACACCGCATAGACAGCCTGTCTAAAGGATAACATTTCTAACTTATCAAATCCTTCGCTGTTGTTGAAACTTGCATGACTTCCTTTGATTTGATGCTGTCACTCTTGGATGCAGCAGACACAAACAGGCTTGATAATATTCAAAGGCTGTTTCTCAGAGGGGGCAGGGTTAACTTTTGATTGGTGTGTATCCCTATCCCAGAGCAGTAGAGCGGCGTTCCAAAGCACCACTCCGGTTAGCAGGGGGTAGACACTGCCACTGACGGAGTGAGACCGCCGCCTGGCTCAGTGAAGCTGAGCGCCAGCGCTTGGATTCCCCCTCCTTCTGTCACTGAGCAGAGAGTCTCAGCTCTCTGTCTCAGTGCTTTTCTAGGTCAGGATGATCACAGCACTGCAGCAGCACACACACACACACACAAACACAAACACAAGTGCATGCAGACAGACCGACACAGACTGTATACAGTATCGTCACACAAATTGAGGATGTTAAAGGAATGCGCACTCACATGCACAAACAGATAAATGCATCCACAAAGTTTTAAATGTATAAAATGTTTGCAGAGAAGAAAAGCAAAGACAGTCACGTGTTATATTGTCACCTTTTTATTGTTAAGTATTTAAAACAGGGTCTTAGAGATGCTTTAACACCACTGTAATGATTGAAATACCATCATAGAATAAGTTCTATCTTACTTACGCAAGGTTGACGAAGCTATAATCGAGATCTTTGAAAAAGGCGTAGAGTCGTCGGGTACTTTGACAAACTATTTCCCTCCAGTACCCTTTGAAACACCCAGATGAGATCATCAGGACCTGAATGTTAACATGCAGCCTTGAAAATGTTATCTGATAACATTTACTTGGAAGCAAGATTATGTGGCTTTTAAAATTCAATTAACTCTTTTTGCAAATGTTGAAAGGTTGGTCGTGTCATTTTTATTTTTAATGTTTAACTTTTTATGAGGAATATTCGTCAGATGCTGCTTACTGGTGCTGCTGTTGGCATCTTTTAAAAATATAAGCATTTTGATGTTCAAATTGGCTCAATACAGTTTGATCTCCTTGGGTTAAATTATATCTACAAGCAACTGTAGCATTTCCTCTGGAGATAGAGCGATCAATCAGCCGACCGATCAATGGCAACAATTATTGGCGTTTTAAGTTATCTGCATCATTTCACCATCAGCCCTCATGGAGCCGTTTTCTCTTTCTGATTTAAAAATACTCTTGGTTTTTGGGAACACATGCCACCAAATTCAATACAATATACTGTACATTTAACAACAGCAGAAGGTCTGTAACATTATAGTTCTGTGTCTGGTTGAGAGAGCCCAATATGTGACTTTTCAGACACTAAATCTTTGATAGTGCCATGAGAGACAGTATTCTGAGTCTCTGCATTGTACTTCAGTTGCACCCCCATGCAGGGGCGTAGCACCAAATTTTGGGCCCTATACACTCTCAATGTCAGTGGGCCCCTACCCACGCCAGTGCATGAGGCCCATGAGCAAAAAAAAACAAAACAAAACAAAAAATTCTGGATTTTCATGGGCAGTCAGGTCCACTTTTTCCTCCACTACCACGCCCATGCCTCCATGCACGCACTGATGAAAATTGTGCTGTTCATTGGCGTTATGAAACTGCCACTAATGTGCTTGTATACCCAGTGTAGCAGGAAAAGGATTCACTTCAGTCCTCATTCATCAAAGCCACCCAAGCACTCCTCCTTTCATGTATAATTAATATATGTAAATATATAACATCGAAGGGACCTGCCTTATTTATTTGTTGCATTGGCGATAAGGGACGATTTAGAAGGGGTAGTGAGCTCGGTAAGTAGCAACTAAAAGTTTTCTCAAGCAGCCGTTAGTGCACTGAAAGAAGCTTAGCAACATTTACATCAACATTTACATGACCAGATCGTTCTATATTAGACCATAAGCAGGTTAAGAGGTTTATAATAATCCTGTATGCTTCATGCTTGAAAAGGTGTTGGAAGTTGTAGCATAGCCTGGGTAAGAAGATGTGTGAGAAGATGACAGAAGTGAAAAAAAGGCAAGAAAGTCAAATTCGGTTTGGAGAGAAGAAGCAACAAAAAGAAGGAATACTTGTTGTCCCAACAACTTCCATTTTTTATGTGTTTGTTTTATTATGCTCATAAGTGAATTCAGCTCAGTTTAAGAGATGGGAACCGATGCACACTAAGTACTGAAATAAGCTGATGCTACCTAAGAGGAGTGAATGAGAAACAATAAAAGAGAAAACTTAAAAATAAAAGCATCCATATGTCAAGCGTTTCTCTCAAATTCAAACTAAACACTGAGATAAATACAGTTAAATTCCACCACTATCCACCGCCTTTTCTAAAGCTTGTTTTTTACAGCTGGGTCAAAGCAACAAAGAACTTTTGGAGAATTTAAAATAAAACTCAAGTTTATCCGACTTGCTGCTGCTCAACGTGCTTTCGGTTTGTGGAAGCAAGTAAAAACAGCGTCTTTAAATGTTACTCCTGTTTACAGCAAACACAAAGATGAAGAAAAAAAAAGACATTTTAGTGACCTAAGTAATGATTTCATTAACTACAAATCCTGCGTGTGAGATTTGACTGCAGAACAAACCCAACATTAACATCAGCACAGTGTTATAATTGTGTTCACCATCTGCCTTAATTTGGCAAAAAAAATATGACAATAATTATTCGTCAAACAACTTTTTTAATTCAGTAATGAAGACAAGATTGTTAAAAATAATAATTAAAAAAAAGTTTTTTTTTGTTTACAAGGCAGCAAATTTAAAAAGTAATGTTCAAAATCTATGATAATTTCATCTATTTTGTGAGTCACACATCAAATTATAACCAATGCATTCTTGTAGCTGATTGAATTGGTCGAGATGTGTTTATTTTGATACTGATCTGCAACAACTGTGCCGCAGGATACAAATTCTCACTCCCTCCATGCTTCTTTGTCGGTGTCATTTATGATTTTATGCTGTTACATCTCAGTGCCCTAAATTGCATTCAGCTGCTGGAGCAAAATCTGTAATTTTTTTGTACCACAGTTAAATATATTATCCTTGTATAGGGATGTGGTGAGAAGATATTTAGCAAGATGTTTTTACAGTATTGATCAACTCATCAAAGGTGATGCTGCAGTTGAGGGCAGTGAAAGGACTGTCGGCCTTGACATTGTAGGTGCAGTTTGTGGATCATCATAAAAAGCAATACATCCTTTTTATTATGAACCTCATGTGTTGATTGCATTTTCATTCGAAGTATACAAAAGTTTAGCCAGGTGGCTGTGAAAGATTTATTTATTTATCTATTTTTTTACTTTGGATAATTCCTGGAATTTAGCACTTTTACTTTACATAAGCAGATCAGGAAGGACAGCACGGCAGCATTGCTTTGTGGTAGACTGAGATACATTCAGCTAAGAAGGGAAATTCGGAAGTCAGATTTTTAGGAGAGTTTTCTATCAATTTTAACACATGATACAGCCTTAACTTGAATTTATCATCGGCTAATTGAGAATAACTTTTTATTGACCCAAACTAGATGAAGGGCAAAAATGACTAAAATTTGACACAAACTGAAAAGTCTAAATCTGAAATACAGCTGCTAAAATTAACTTTGTTCACTGCACTGGACAGTTGAAGGCTAAAGCCACCTTCAAAGCACATTTCAAGGCCTCGTCATCATACTGCCACATAAACTTTTATCCTTCTTACCTGTATCTTTTTAGATTTCATTATGTAAAGCACCTTGAGTTGCCTGTGTGTGTAAAAAAAAAAAAAAGCAATATGAAAGAACTAGTTCTGTCTGCCATAAAAGGACAGCCCTGGGACAGTTCATAAAGGATGGGCGGATAAAGTAAGATTGAGGAGACGTTTGAAGAGTACCTTATTTTGAAGAGGCTGGGAGGTTTGTTTGGAGTAGGAGCAGGCTGCCAATATCCCAAATTAGAGAGCAAAGTAGTCAAAGAGCTCCTCCTGATTAATAGAAACTGGCTCGTCAGCCTAATAGACAGTGCCAGGCACAAATTAACCATCAGTTCTTGAGACGCTAATTATACATTCTCTCTACAAATTACATTATAAGGATCACTTTTCTATTTATGCTTGTTTTTTTTTTTTCAAACCACTTTCCAAAAAGCCTTTCCTTCACTTGCCACTGAGTCCCTCTCAAAAGAAAGTAGCTTTTGTCAAAGCAGTCTGGTAAATGGAAGAAAGGATGGATCCTCAGTGATCTGAACCTTCACTGATAAGTTGCCATGTCAGTCTTTGGCAGTGAAAAGAACATCTTGAACCAGCTAGGAGGGTATGCATATCAAATGAAATGGAGTGCAAGATAACCGAGAGATGAGGATCCCTCAAATGAGAAAACACAGTTTGCCATTGAGAGATAAACAGAAAAGAAATAATGGAAAAAAAGATAAACAAACAAACCAAAAGATGCACAATAATGAGCATTCCCCTGGCTGATTTGATTGCATAACTTCATCGGCTTTCACCACAGCACTATCTTTTTAGCATCCTCCCAGGAGTACCTGCTGTGCAAAGTTTGCAAGCAGAAGTTTGGTTGTTCTGTGGGCTGTTTTCTCGATACTGGAGGTTTGATGGAGAGAAAATAGAGCTTGCAGATCTTTCATGTTTCTGTATGTGCCAACAAGAGCAACACAGCAAGTTTATCAGATGGCAAAGATATAAAGCTTCACTTGATTAAAGCTGCATGGGTAAAAAACCTGTTTAAGATTCAGTTCGAGACACAATCCAAGTCAGAAAATAGTTTCCAGCAGCAAGTTTATCTTGTAGTTTGATCCTGTGGTACGGAGATGGATCATGAGGTGATATCATTTAGAGCCAAGGCAATTTAAAGGTCCATTATAACAGTGTTTTTTTTTTTTTTTTTTTAATATGTCCCAGTTATCTTCAAAGAAAGGTTTCAGATTGAAAAAAAAGAGAAGAGACAAGGAGAGAGTTTGTGGGAAACTCCACCAACGAATCAATCAATTTGTGAAATTGTGGAGCCCTGTGGTCTGATCCCACAGAAAGGACGAGAGACCAGTAGGAAGCTTAAGTGGCCTGTGTGATAATAAATGTTAAAACTATAGACTAAAGTTTGTGATTTAACTTAAACTTAAACTTTGAGAACCATTATGTGCCCTTAAATCTAGGCTGTAGCATCAAGTAAAGTACCACCTTTACACTGATAACACCCTGTTATATGTCTTATTGCTAACCCTCTATCAAAGCAAATATCCTAGTCTTATTTATTTATTTATAATTTAATACTTATTTATTTTTCTTTTAAATTCTCTAACTCTTTACTATGTCTCTTGGAAAATATAAAACAGAACTTGTCTTGTTTACCACACCCAAGCAGATGGTACTTTATTTAATTTAGCATTGTGTTTTGATTACCAAGCAGAGGGAGTCGCTCTGCATAATTTCCCCGACTGGATCTGATTTTAGAAATCAAACTATCATTATATTTTTAAACAAAGTTATCTACGACTTTGTTTTGCCAGGAGGAATTTCAGTGATTTCCTAACAGTGATATAACGCTGACACTCCACTGGCCTAAATTGCTCCAGGTTTACACTCCAGTAAGAAAACACTTTCATAGTCAATGTTTCTCTGGATTTCACTTTGCTAGTAGTTGTGTTGGGGATTTTTTTGCTTGTGTCTAGTACTTGGCTTTTTAACAGCTGATGGGTTTTTATAGTCTGGCACCTGATTTCTAAAACCTAGTTAGAACATCTAGGTGTTATATACAACTCCCTGTGTGTGTGGTTGGTACTTTCCATTGAGTCTACTGCTCACCCATGGCAAATCCTGATGTGTATGACAATATATCCCACTCGATCTGGTACTTATTCCCTCGTTGTTCTTTCTCCTGCATCACTGGTACATTGAAATTTTCTGAGCTATTCATCTGTTCATTTCTTGCCCTCTACCTGCCACAAAGCAGGTTGAGGTTACTAAGATCAGAGCTTGTGTGTATGTGTCTGTGTCTGCAGATGTGGGTCTTGTCCCACCCTCAAAAGCCATAGAGACCTAACAATAATGTGGCAAAGTTGCTCAACATGGCGTGAAATGACTTTATTGCATTTTTACATTAAAAGCACTGATAGAATACATTTCTAATAAAAGGGCCACAGTGCCCCGGGGAGCAGGCATGAGGTCTGCCAGTCATGCAAGGTGTCGCTTGAGCGTGTATTTTTGAGTGGGTGAAAGAAAATGAGTTTGGAAAAAGAGCAGAGCAACAGTGTAATTGAAATGACATGGAAACCAAAAAAACCTTTCAAATTTGGACTGACATTCACTCTCGCGTATGTATATTCTCCCTTTCCTTAGGTGCTAATAAGTGTTGTGTAGTGAGAACAAACATGCTTGTTTCCATGAGCGACACAAATTTCCATGTTGGTACGATGTGAAGTCGATGCGGTGATGCAGGCTCAGACATGGAAACTGTGGCCTGCTACAGTTACAATCAGAATATTTAACTCATCCTCCACTTAGATGTGACATTTAGCAAATGATACTCAGCTAGTCACACAGAAATTCATTTTACAGAGTGACTGTGTTTCTAACCATTGTTGAGCTGAAGAGGGAGCGGACACTCACATTAAATCCTACCAAGGCCCCAGGAACATGGGATCAAGAGAATCCTTGATTGCTGTAAAAAGCACCTGCTACTGTCCTTCAGAGTCAGTCAAAGAGATTATTGTGGAAAAAAGGGTCTTGCAATCATTCATTCATGAAATTAATCATGATTCATTTCAATGATGAAAGATTGAGTCTAAAACTGAATATACCTGAAACGGGTACTAGCTGCTTCCTGCATAACCCAAAAGTTTTAGATAATGTTTATTTAGAAAAGGCAGTCAGATATAAGCACTCATGTTCAAGACTGGAATTTAAAGTCAAATTTTCCAGCCTTATATGGCACATAAAGCATTTCACACCACCAGTACTAGCCAGTACTTAGCACCAATTGCTGCACCCGATGTAGGTACCAGATGTGTTTGGTCTGTCAGAAGACGTCACATTACAGCAAGTCCACTCGGACAAACTACATTGTGCTCCATTAAATAAGTCGAGTGTGCTCAGTGCTCGGTTTTCTTCATTTCCAGGTGTTTGTTCAATTGACCTTGAAATTTTCTCTCCATATAATACAGAGAGATTCAACATACTGTACTGTAATTGTACACAGGGTCTCCGTTTATCAATAGATAGTTTTGCTTTTATTCAACATTTTCTTTGACAACCTAAAAAAGGTGGTTGTCTGGCTGTCGTAAGTCCCCTTTGATAAGTAGCGATAGATTCCTTCATAAAGTTCATCCATGTTTTATCCAAAGAACTACAATCCCATGAAACCTAATCTGGCTAAAACCGCTTCCGCAATGTCTGGACCAACCACAATCTTGTACGTCATCCAAACCAACTTCCAGCCAATCATATAGCGTGACATCGTTAATAGGCGCCAGGCCCTGAGCCGATCTGGCAGCCCAAACACATCTGGTACCTACACCAGCAAGTCAATAATATTTTCAAGGTAGGATTTGATAAGTAGTTTTAAATTTAGGCTTAAACTGAAGGGGGAAAAAAAATCCTTAACTAAACCTTCAGTCTCTGTCTTGTATTCATTCAGATATCACAGTCTGATTAGATTGTGTGCTGTGGTGACAGGACTATTAGAAGGATTACAGTGACTGCAACCTCAAAACGTTTGTACTGACATCAGTGACTGTATATTCAAGTGGACGCCATTATTGTTCAGTGTCCTTTTACAGCTCTGTGCTGTTTGTCAGGAAGGTTTAGTCTTTTACGTCCGTTCTTTGTCAAAGTTTCATTGACTATCTGGCTTCTTTGCACCACACTTTTCAACCATCAGCTTAGAGCCCAGCATACAAACACTGGGTATGTGCAGAATGCTTAAGTCAGTTTTAGTCTGATTGAGTCATATACTATATCTGCCAATTGCATTATCCAGGTACGTTAGTCTGATTATAACAAGTTCAATTTCAGTCAGACCAATGTGTTAACATGGGTTTTAAAAGTCTAGTTTCAGTTGGACTATTGCAAATAAATTAATCAATATTTTGAAGTTCATATTAATGTGGAGTTGTAATATGTGTATTCCCATGTATAGCATCTTAGTTCAAACAAAAACTGAGGGCTGCGAGAAACTGTTTTTTCTTCTTCGCAATTTCAACTTGATTATGTGAGAAAACAAACTTATGAATTTGATTAAATTGATTATGAATTCAAAAGCACACAATCAACCGATCTGCTGATCAAATGTTTATTTAGTCTTTGTCAGATTTTTCATGAGGTTGCCATTGTGGTCTATTTCTGCAGTTTTCCTCTCTCTAAACAACACCTTAAATGAGCCTCAAGCACTGTGATTTGCGGCCTGACTGGCATCACTGCCAGCCTTCTAATGTGTGTGATCAACCCTCAAAGGCTTTCGGTTCACAGGGCTGTAGGAACTGTCTACACACAGTATAGAAACCATAATATGTCTGACAGCCTGAGCAAAACAAGCAGAGATATCAACATGCAGACGAAGTTTGTTTGGAAGAACATTTTGTCTGCATTTCAAAGAGAAACCAGTCTTAAACAGAACTTTTCTGAACATTTCTGTTCTCTCCTGCTGTTGTTCATAATCACCAGAAGCCAATGGGTACCCATGGAAAAAGCCAAAGAAAGAAGCTAATGGATAGGAAGACAACATAACCCCCATTTTGGCCTCAGTCCTGCAGCAACCTCCCATTCTTTTCCATCCCCTCGTCTGACATCTGATGCGATAATGCTGGAAGCGCTCGCCAAAAAGCCCAATGTCAGACAAGTGCTTAATTGCCTGGCAACATGTATAAACAGCCCATCATGTGGATAGGAACAAGACTAATTCGAGCTGAACCCTGTGGCCGAAGGGACTCTTAACACATAACACAACCGAGTAACAGCATCACAGGAAAGCTGTACCTGCCTAATGTGTGAGGGTGTGCGACTGTTTGTGATAGAGAGAGAGAGGGAGAGGGAGAAGAGGCACATAAAGAGATTTGGGTTATCATCATTATAAGGCAAATCACTAACATCTGCAGTGCACTATCTCATTGGAGCGAAGAGGGGGGACCATTTGGTTAATGCAGGTGTGTGTGTGTGTGTGTGTGTGTGTGTGTGTGTGTGTGTGTGTGTGTGTGTGTGTGTGTGTGTGTGTGTGTGTGTGTGTGTGTGTGTGTGTGTGTGTGTGTGTTGAGGAGGTGCAATGCTGATTCTGCAACAGATGTTTTTGGAAAGACTTTTCAGGGCTAAAGTAAGTGAAGAAGTTGAGCATGTAATTTGAAAAATTGCCAAATGACAAAACAATCAAAAAGTGTTTGATTAAAAAAAAAAAAAAAAGTGTATTTCTTTCCTTTTCATGTTGCTTGTATGTTTGTATGTCTATTTTTTTGTTTGTTTATCTGTTTTTGTTTTGTCCTGTTGTGTGTATTTTCATTACTTTTGTTCATATGTTGTTTTACTTTGATGAAATGGAAAAAATAAGTGTTTGATACAAAAACAAAAAGAAAAAAAAATCATGTTCTCAGAGAGTTAGGACTTTTGGAGTAATGTCTGTCAAGTTTGACTCGTTGTCTGTTAACCTGGGAGGCGCATGGTTTATGACCTACAAGTGCTGCACAAAATATCAGCATGTCCAAAAACAGTTTGTTTGAGTAAATACTATTAAAAAAAAAAGAAAAGAAAAATAAAAAATGGCATTTAGCATAAGGTGGATACAGATTATACACCAGTGGACGAAACACTCTGAGAGCAAGGTCGGTAAAGTGCTTTGCCCAGGGACACAACAGACAGACTAGGGATAGGGGGGAATTGAACTGCCAACCTTCCAGTTATTGGATGACCACTCTACCTCTACAGCTTTACTCTTTTACCTGTCAGATGACATAACTTCATATAATATTTCCCTCTTGCAAGCTATGGCAAACTACCAAGAACTTCATCTCTCTGTCATGATTACATCTGCAGTCTGATGGAGGTGAAGATGGATGAACAAACTGCTGGTGTTACCCCCTACTGCTGTCACTGTTGTTCCTCATTTCTTTCTCACACTGCTGTAACAACCAGCTAGCATCTTTCTCTTTTTTTCTGCAGCCATTAGTTTTAATCTTCCCTGCATTTTATGGCAAGTGATAATTAGTGTGAGGAAACACCGCTGACCTTATTACCAGCCAATTACTTAAAGTGTTAAAGTTATTGTCACCACTTATAGATAGTGACAGCTCTTCCTTTGAGTCAAAGAGTCGAGTCAATTTCTGTTTCATATTTCATAGCCTTGATGATTGAACTTTAAAAATACACTCTATTATTTTTTCCCCCTTTTTCTGGCCGTGTTAAACACACTCCGCTCTTCTGGACCTTGATCTTAACTCATTCAGATCTTGTTTACAACATCTACATTGTATGAATTGTTGCTGTAACAGTTTCCAATATTGCACTTGTAAAACCCGATGATAAGTGCCGTATCAACATTGTGACTTCTGTGGTGTTGCTTGTCTCGGAGCGATCTTGTAGCCTACTGCTGCCTGTGTGTGTCATTTGATATTTGTCTAATTAGACTGTTTGTTTGCAAATGGCAAATAACAAAGCGAAAGACAAAGGAGTGGATTATCTGGTAGCAGAAAATCATTTCCCAGTTTGTGAGCGTGTGAACTTAAACCTCTGTGAGTCATAGCAGAAAGACAGGAAAAAAATGTGAATGGCATTTAGAGGGAAACTTATTCGAACTTTTTGGGGATCAAAGTCGTCCTTTTTTTGGAAAAACTTTTTACATGAAGTCCCTGCTGTAATATAAGTTGATTTATATAAACATCAAAATTGTGTAAACAGCTTTAAAACATCTCCATCTAAACCTGATGCATCCACAAGTGAGAAAGAGACTGAGATGAGACAGAGGAGTGTGTTTTTCAGGTCGTGACTGAGACTCTGATGGAATGAATTGATGTTAGTTGAACTTTATGACGTGCTTTCTACCCTGCTTGTACAGTGTATTTTTGTCAATCTTGTTTTTGCTGGCATTGAGATTTCGAAGCAAGGCCTCTCTTCCAGTCGTGCTTTCAGCAGCCGTCGCCCTGTTATCAGGTCAGAGAGTGTGAAATTATCTCTCACAGCGGTGATTGTCCGCTCGCTCTGTCCCATGCTCCACTGCAGCATCTAATTAGCACCTTACCAATGCTCTCTGCTACCGCGCGCGCACGCACATACGCACGCACGCAGGCCAAGAGACACTGACAAACCGAGGATTGAGACTTTGGAAGCCACAGTACACACTTGCTCCCAGTGTGTACTTCAATGTTCAAAACAAAGACAACAAAGAAATGCTTTTCAGCTTTTATCACAAGTCTGTTAACAAGACACAGCTGCTGATGGAGTTTTTTGGGGTTGGCGACATTTGGCAAAGAAAAACAAGTCTTACTGGCAAATCTTAGTGAGTCTGGTTCTGTTACCTTGAGCTGGTGCTGAAGTGGCCTCAAAATAGTGAAGCAACAAAGTCATCAAAGAAACAACAACAAAAAAAATCAATCACTTTTTTTCTGCCACCAGCTGGTCTTTCATCTACTTAAGAAAGTCTTTTAAAGTCCAAATTAAAGTTAAAACAATTCAGAAAAGCTATTCAACTTTGTAAATGTTTCAAACGCGTCAGGATCGGTGTCAAAGATCGAGCAAATTACAAGTAAGAACAAAATAGATCCTTCAGTTTTAGTTAACAGAAGAAGTTTATGATGATCCGATGCATAAAAGAAACCTGTGTGCACATTCCCTGCCAAGCTGTTATTTAGCTTTGTCATCTCGCTGTTTAATTAATCAGCGTATTTTTTCTCGTGGAGACGTACCCTCTGACATTTTGAAAAATTAATCACGGTGCTATTCGTAATTCAGCAGGCAAACACAAGGCCAGAATTGTAAATCACCAAATAAGTGCAGCTGTAAATGTGTAAGTAAACAGCAGACACCTTACCTTAAAACACCCTCTGCCATTAGGTAAGATGATTTCACAGATGTACCACAACAAACGAGTGAGATCATCTTGAGTTAGTTACTGCACTGCGCACACACACATGGTGGGGTTGATCTAAGCAATAACCAAAGCTTTGGTTTCTATCTTGGATCTGACATGGTGTTGGGGAAACTTTCTCCCCTTCTTCCATCGGCTCCTTAAGGGGAGAGCTGTGCCAGTTGTCAAGTTGATTCAGTGTTGTTGAAATGATCTCTAGAACAAGACTGCGAAACTCATCGCAGAAATCAAGAAGGACTCGCAGGATCTCTCGTAGCAGATCCCAAAGATAAAATTCATCTCCCTGCTGTAAAAAAACACTGCCAATGAAGTTTAGC